GAGGGCTGAGAACTGGGGCCACCCAGTGGAGCCCAGCAAGGAGGGGCCTTGGCTTAGGTGCCAATTGTCAGAGCACTGCCCTGACCTCCATTCACAAACGTCCTAGCCCAGCTCATCCCCAGCAGCCAAGAATGTAGAATGGGAAAAGCTGGGCTCAGGAGACTGGACAAGAGCCTTTACTTTTCAATTTCTCAACAAAATTCAGCGGTAACAGTTTCCCTAAAGGATTCGTGAAGCTTCCGGGGTCAGAACTCTAGGGTGGGGAAAGGGCCAAGTGGGAGGGGCAGGGGTTGACAGGAGTGCTTCCGCTGCACAGATGCTGAGCACCTGAGGACCTTGTCCTTGTCTTACAACACGCTCGGCGGCCCTGCCCTGGCAAGGGTGCTGCAGTGCTTACCTGCATGTGCCCTCCTACGTTTGGAGCTTAGCTCAGTGACAGCCAGCAAAAGCAACTTGGGTCTCATAGAGCCTATTGTCAAATACTTGACTAAGGTATGAGATGTGGAGGGGACTGCCAAACCAGAATATAAAGGTCCGGAGGCCAAAACCCCAACGTCCTACAGCTGAAACCCTGCTGCATTGTGCAGAGTCTAAGGAAAGGGCTAGGGGTTGGGAAGAACAAGCATGGACTCCTGGGAGCGGGGTGGTGGTTACTGCAGCCAAGATCTTAGGGACGCGCCAGGACCCCTGTTGGTTTCCACAAGGTGTCTATAACCTATAGCCCGGAAGAGAGGTGTTTCCTGTCTTATCTCTAAACGGCTTTCTTGTGGGTGGATCTTTGCTGGGAAGAAGGCTGATGGATGCCCACCAAGGCATGGCCTTTTGCCCTGTTCTTACGTCTAGGAAGGCTGTGCTCTGGCCCACCTAACCCTGTCTGCAAACTACCTGAGTGACAAGGCTGTGAGAGAACTGAGCAGGTAACATACCATCCGCCAGCCACTGTCTGTCCTGTGAGGGAACCTGACAAGAACACAGCCCAGGACCAGAGGAGATGGCTCTGGCAGGCACACTTATACCCTCCTGAAGTTTCTTACCATGCCTCTGTTGTTCAGTTTGAACTTTTCTCTCTAATCTATCCTTTATTTTCCTTGGTAAAGCATCCCCTCCACCACTTCCTCCAGCACGCTCCCAGAGCCTTGGCCGTCTTTCAAGGCAGTGTCAGGAGTTGTCCAGAGCTGGCCCTTGCAGTCTGGCCTCTGTCTGGGGCTTAGAGGTCCTGCCTGTGTCAAGCAGGAGCAGCTTCTGCTAGGCTTGGCCACCGGCTCCCAGAGCTGTGGGTCTGTCTGGCTCAGCCTTCCCTAGTAAGAAAGCTAGGGCTTTCCCCGGAAACTCATCCGTTCACTTCCAGTGTTACTCTAGGTGTCTCCCTTGCTGCCCCTCACTTGTCTCTCTGGACCTGTCTGCCAACCCTGAGGTCAGCTGTGACAGTCTGGAGGAGCTCATGTCTGCCCTCCAAGAGCGTCCCCAAGGCCTCAGCTTCCTTGGCCTGTCAGGTAAGGGCTGGGAGTGACAATGACTCCTGCTATTGCCTCACCTAACTCAGGCCTTACTTTCCAGGGACCTGCCAGAGGAAAGGACAGTCACTGCCACCAGCCAGGCTCTACGAGGCTGTCCTGGTGAAAGGCAGCTTGTGATGTAATGGGGGGGCTAGGGAGAGGTTGCCTCTGTCTGGTTGTTCTTCCTGGTTGTTGGGCGGGAAGGAACCAAGTATGGCTCAGACCTATAATCCAGCACTAAGAAGGCTAAGGCAGACTCCCTCAAACATGGCCTGAGGTACATAGCAAAGCTCTCTTGAAACAAAGCAAAGGAGTGGCTGGAGGGGGGTGGTCAGCAGTTAAGAGCTACTCCTCAGAGACCTCACTTCTGTGCTTAGTGCTCTGCTCCCACGTGGTAGGTCACAGCCTCCATAACTGCAGTCCTAAGTAAGGGATTTGAAACTGCCTTCTGACCTCTGCAGGCAGCCTGATTTCACACGGTACACAGATGGACATGCAAATAAAACATCAGCACACATAAAAAACATTTTTAAATATTTAATGAATTCATTTATTTATATTTTGGTTTTTCAAGACAGGGTTCCTCTGTGTAGCCCTGACTGTCCTGAAACTTGCTTTGTAGGCCAGGCTGGCCTCAAATTCAAGATTCTCTTTCTCTCTTCTCTCTCTCTCTCTCTCTCTCTCTCTCTCTCTCTCTCACACACACACACACACACACACGCCTCCAGAGTGCAGGGATTAAAGGTATGCACCACCACCACCTGGCTAACACATTTGTTTTTATTTTTGTTTGGTCTTTCAAGACAGGACACCTCTGTGTACCCTTGGCTGTCCTGGACTAGCCTTGTAGACCAGATTGTTTTCAAACTCAAAGAGATCTGCCTGCCTCTGCCTCCCTGAGTGCTGGGATTAAAGGTACACGCCACCATGCTCAGCTTAGAAACAAACATTTTTTTTAAGATTTTATTTACTCTTTATACATCATTCTGTCTGTGCACCAGATCTCATTATAGATGGTTGTGAGCCACCATGTGGTTGCTGGGAATTGAACTCAGGACCTTTGGAAGAACAGCCAGTGTTCTTAACCTCTGAGCCATCTCTGAGCCCCAGAAACAAAATTTTTAATGAAAATAAAAAGCATTAAGGCCAGGCATGGTGGCTCATGCCTTTAATCCCAACACTCAGGAGGAAGAAGCAGGCAGATCTCTAAGTTCCAGGCCAGCCTGGCCTACAGAGCAAGTCCAGGACAGCCAAGGCTCTGCTAACACAGAGAAAACCTGTCTCAAAACCTGACACCCTTCTCCCCTCCCCCCCCCAAAAAAAGCATTAAGGACCTTTTCCACAGGTATATTTCTTCATTCCTTTTAAAAACTTTTATTTGCATTTATTTTTAAGGACAATATTTTATAAAGGTTTACTTACTTTATGCCAGATGTAGTGGTACATGCCATTAATTCCAGGATTTAGGAGGCAGAAGCAACAGGATCTCTGAGTTTGAGCCCAGCCTGGTCTACCAACAGATAGGGCTACATAAAGAGAACCTGTCTCAAATCAACAAGAAGATTTGCTTTATTTTACTCTGAATTTACTCTAGTGTTACAAGTTTTTGTTTCTTCAAGGTTGGTTTGTTTATTTTTTGAGACAAGGTTTCTCTGTATAGCTCTGGCTGTCCTGGAACTCTGTAGACCAGGCTGGCCCTGAACTCACAAGAGATCCACCTGCCTCTGCCTCCCAAATACTTGGTTTAAAGGTGTGGGCCATCACTGCCCAGTTATTTCTTCAGTTTTGTTTGTTTTTCTGGGATATCTTTTCTTCTGTTCAGCCTCCTCTGCTAGCTAGGAACAGTTTATCTTTTTGGTGAGAACCATCTCGTTGAGGCAGAGGGAGCTCCTGTCCACTATGGACTCTGTAAAGTTCAGTAGAGCATCTTAACTGCTTTGTGACTAGAGAATCTACATCTAAACCCATAAATTCAACAAAAAGTGGTACTCTTCGGAGGGCCACTGACAGTGTCCAACTTCACTGTTTGGCCTGGCAAAGACATCATCCAGCTCCACCATTAGACCTCCAGAACAGCACACATTGCTTGTTTAAAGTGGCATTTTTCAGCTACACAAACATACACTTGACAGCCTAGGCATATTTCACAGATGTTCTTAAAATGAACAAGATTCAACCTCTTTTTTTTGTGGGGGGAGAGGGGATTGGTTGGTTGGTTGTTTTAAGGCAGGGTTTCTCTATGTAGTCCTGGCTGATCTGGAACTCTCTCTGTAAAGGCTGGTCTTTACCTGAGAGTACTGGGATTAAAGGTAGGTGCCACCAGGCCTGCCATGATTTGGACCTCTTGGTTTGCATGATTTTATAGGGTTTTCTGGGTCAAGAGAGTAGCAAATCACTGTCCCTTACTGGAAGCCTTATTTCTTCATCCTTATCAGGAAAGTAGCCAGAATCAGGGCAATGCAAGCTCCACCAAGGGGCTCGCTCTCTCCCTTCCTTCCTGGCAGGAGGGATTACTCACACAGTACCTACTAGTAAGGTAGTTTGATCTGCACCATCAAGGCGATCTCCCCCTTAGAGGTGTACCTGGTGGTCTGGCCTGGGATTGCCTTACCCAGCCGAGATTTGAGGATGGTAGGCTGTGCCCTTGGAGGATAAAGGTTGAGCACAGGGAAGCCCCTGGGTTCATTCTAAAGGCTACACCCCTTCCTTCCTACACATCGATACTTCTGGCATCTGTGCCCTTTCATCCAGTTCCTTGAAACCCCAGGCTAGCCTGATGACCAAGTCCTGGCATTCAGTAGCCTCCAGAGATCCTTGGGCCCACAATATTACAGATATGCAAAGACCTGCTGAGACCTTTGTTTGTTTCGAGACAGATTTTCTCTGTGTAGCCTTGGCTGGCCTGGACTTGCTTTGTAGGCTGGCCTCAAACTCACAGAGATACTCCTGCCTCTGCCTCTCTTGAGTGCTGGGATTACAGGCGTGTGCCACCGCGCCCCTTATTGAGTGCATTCTATGACCCCACAAGCTAAAATGTGGATGCGACGTGAGCAATATGCCTCCTGTGGATGTGCAAGTTAAACCTACCTTCCCCTGTCACCACACAGGCTGCTCCATTCAGGGGCCCCTGAAGCCTGACCTCTGGGACAAGATCCTCGCGCAGCTGCAGGAGCTGCAGTTGTGCAGCAAATACCTGAGCCCAAAGGACCGAGACGCCCTCCGGAGACTGCCGGCGGGTGCGTGCACACTGGACCAAGGTCCCAAGCTCTTCTTTAAATGCCTCTGACCCTGGCCCTGTCGTTTCTGCCCAAATCAATAAATAATTAACTTAATAAAGTGAGCTGCTGTCTGTTTTATGTGTCTCTCTGAGAAAGGGGTGGGCGATGTGAGACTTAAAAGCCTTGACAGGCGGGGCTGCCCAAGAGCGCAAGCTCAGGCAAAGAGGGCGAGCGCCGACCGACGGATTGGGCTTGCTCTTCGCGTAGGCTTAAGGTGGGAGAGTGAGCGCCGAGCTGCCGATCGGGTTTCCCAGCAGGCGCAGGCGGAAAAAGCGAGCACCGAGCTTCTGTCGCCATCTCCGGGACAGAAACACCCAGGTACGCAGCGGCCGTGGCCAGGTCCCTCCTTACAGAAACCCTTTGGGCTAGATGTCCCGGTCCTGTCTCCTTTGGGGCTCAGCGGCCCTTGCCTCGCGGTCAGTGTCTCTGTAGGCAGTGGGCGCTGTCAGGCGGCTTTACTGTTCACAGCTCAGGTTCCCCGTGCTGTGTGGGTACCCACCTTTCTCTTGCGACCCCGCCGGCTGTTCCTAGCTCCTGCGACCTCAGCATCTCAGGCTCCTCATCAGGCCACTACCATCTCGGTTTGTCTACCTTCCTTGAACTTTTGTTTTCTTTTCAGCCCATTTCAAATCCTGAGGCGTGTCTGACTGGCTAAGCCAGTGACCCCAACTTCCTTATTAGACAGGACTTAACCTGGGCCCTGCCTCCACCATTTCTAGACCGCATCGACCACCAAGCTTGCCTTTATTCATTCCTGCAGTAGCTCCCACAGAATTAGAGGAAAGCCCACCGCCACACTTTCGCCTCACTTCCCCTCGGCCCTAGACACCTAGTTCTTTTAAATTCATTTCCATTGAAAGATGTTGCAACAGTGTGCCACCCCGGAACTTCTATCAGCTTCTCTTCCCTGCCTTAACCAAGCTTCCAAGCTTGCACCCTCTCAGTGTTCATCCTTAAAGCCTGACTTCCCCACGGCAGCCGTTTGGCATCCCATGTTGTTCCTGTAGATAGCCAGAAAGCTGGTCACAGTGCTCTGATCCCCGGAGCACGGTTCTTAAGGGGCCCCCTGAGTTAGCGCTGGCTCTACTCCCCAGGTCTCTGCTGTAGCTTCCAGGGCCTGCAGGATGTTTCACGGGATCCCGGCTACTCCTGGTATTGGAGGTGAGTGTGGCCTAAAGTGGGAAGAAGTGGAGGGGCCCAGGCTTTCCCTGCTACCGGGGCTGTTGGGAAATGACAAAACTGCTACCTCCATCCCATATTCTCAGTCCTTGGGGAGTGATTAGGGACAGAGCTGTTTGTGGCAGGATCCTGAGGGCCCATCAATACCCTGCTGAGTAGAGATAATAAACTGCAGAGCATCTTGAGCATCTCTGGGTCTCCAACCCTAGCTTGTGAAGTATGAAACAGACTTCTATTTGTTATCATGTCATGGTGCAGTAAACAAAATATGGTCATGTTGGCGGAGGTGGAGAGTTAAACCCAGCAATTTGTAGCCTCTTAGGGGCAATACTGGTAGGAAGTGAGACCAGAGCCCCGACTCTGTAGCTCCCCTGCGTTCTTTGGGACATGGCATGGGAGATATCCTCTTGGGAAGTAACTGAAGTGGGCCTGCTCTGGGGTCATCTTGTGACTGCTTGTCAGCTCCTCCCTGCTCTGTTGCAGCCCCTGGAAACAAGCCGGAGCTGTACGAGGTAAGTAGTAGATGCTTATCTGGCCTTGGCCACTGTCACCGCCATGTGGCTGTCACTGGTTCTATAACCAACCAGTCATGCTGACTGACTTGCCCGCTCTTCCCACAGGAAGTAAAGTTGTACAAGAATGCTCGGGAGCGGGAAAAGTAAGTCAAGTGTCTAAGCTGCCACCAGCACACACGCACATGCCCTCATCCCACCTCCATGGCAGGCCCGGCAGTCTGCCAAACCCACAACCGCCCCAGTGGTTGGGGAGGGAGGGGCATGGGGAGAGATCTTTGCTGAGGGTTGGAGTGAGAGGTGGGCTGAATTCTGCCGTGGGTGCAGAGCAGCAGTTGGCTGCCCTCCCTTGGAACTGTGGCCTGATGGATGGCTTTGCCTCAGGTATGACAACATGGCGGAGCTGTTTGCGGTGGTGAAGACTATGCAGGCGCTGGAGAAGGCATACATCAAGGACTGTGTCACCCCCAATGAGTGAGCAAGCCTGTGGTTTCAGGTGTTGATGGCCACCAATCCTCAGAAGCATGTTTCTCCCTTCCATGAAGCTTGAGGGTTCAGTAGGCAGCACAAATGTAGGTCTGGAGCCCAAGCTATGGGGGAGGCGGGATGCTCCTGGTCGCTACTCGTTTCAGGGCCATGTCACCCAGGGGCGTTTTGTAAGGGTGGGTATGGTTCTGGCTTTAGAAGGTGAACTGGAGTCTGGGGCAGCGTAGTCTAAAGTATCACTGTCCAGTCTAGGTTCCCAGCATGGATGCTGGTGCCTTATCCAGAGACGACATGCCAATTTGATGGACCAGGAGCTGCCAGGTGGTAATGGAGGTCTGACACCTTGGTCTAGGGCAAACAGAGTAGACCTGTGGGCTCTTGTTCTGAGTTCCAGGGGCGGCCCACACTGATTCTCTGTGGTAGTTACATTTTTGTCATACCTCCCTGCTCTTGTCCAGAGCTCTCTTCATATACAGACCCAGTAGGAAGCCTTTGGCCCTCCCAGCCTGCCGTGAAAGCTGCTGTCTCTAGACTAGCTGAGGGAAAGCACAATGAGCCACCGTAGACTGTTCTCATTCTCCAGCAGCACCCGCCGCCCTCCCCCCAGGTACACTGCAGCCTGCTCCAGGCTCCTGGTCCAGTACAAAGCTGCCTTCCGACAGGTCCAAGGCTCAGAGATCAGCTCCATTGATGAATTTTGCCGAAAGTTCAGAGTGAGTGAAGCCAATCCTTCCCTCCATCCTGCAGGAAAGTTGTGGTGGGATGTGGTGAGACCCTGGCCTCCTGGAGGCCCTGTGATGCCCAGTACCCTTGTCTGTTCTACTCAGCTGGACTGTCCACTTGCTATGGAGAGGATCAAAGAAGACCGGCCCATCACCATCAAGGATGACAAGGGCAATCTGAACCGCTGCATCGCGGACGTAGTCTCGGTGTGCCCCACAGCTCCTGGGAGGGCCCTGTGGGGATTAAGGGGAAGGGACTACCAGCCTGGGTCAGTCATAAAAGTGTTATTCCTGGGGTTTCTGGAGCTAAGCAGTACCCTGGGGAAGTCACCTCAGCTGTAAGTGAGGGTGAGAAGCATCCATAGCGCTGAAGCCCCACCTGACTGAGTTCCCTACTGTGAAGGGACCATATACAGGATCTACTGTGGCAGGGCCCTGGCTTGAAGGGGTTATGTAGGAGTGCACCCCAGATCCCCACATTACTCTCACAGTTGTGATCCCAAATGTCCATAGGCCCAGAAGGTCAACCCAGGCAGGTCTTCATTGTAGCCTCCCAGGCAGGAAGAAAACCCCTAGTATAGGGTGTGGGGGAGGAAAAATGGGTGGGGGCCTGGCCCTTGTGACTGATCTATGAGCTGCAAAGGGTCTCCACACCCCAACTGAGTAGGAGTTGCCTAATGCACATGCTCCCCCCAGCTCTTCATTACAGTCATGGACAAGCTTCGCCTGGAGATCCGCGCCATGGACGAGGTGCGGGGGTTGGGCAGGGAGTCCTGGCCTGGCTGGAGGGCAGCACAGCAAGTTAGGTCAGGTCTCAGCCTGGCACTTGTGTCTGCAGATTCAGCCAGACCTACGGGAGCTCATGGAGACCATGCATCGAATGAGCCACCTGCCTCCAGACTTCGAGGGCCGCCAAACAGTCAACCAATGGTGAGTGGCCTTCCCGGGCAGACAGCGCCCTGTGGTGACATCAGAGCCCTGCTGCTCATCCATACCTGTGCCCGTGCCCCCAGGCTGCAGACCCTGAGCGGGATGTCGGCCTCTGATGAGCTGGATGACTCCCAGGTCCGCCAGATGCTCTTCGATCTGGAGTCGGCTTACAATGCCTTTAACCGCTTCCTGCATGCCTGAGCCTCATCGACTGACGGAGGTGCAGCGCCTCAGCTCGCCAGTATCTACACCTGTCCTAGATGTCTATATTGTCAGGAAATCGCCCCCCCCCCCCCCCAATAAATATCAGAGACAGCTCCAACAGCGTGTTCAGGGATCCAAGGAGGGGATGCGGGGTCGGTGACGAGGGAACGCAGCCACACACCCACACGCACTCGGTGGGTGAAGCAAGCTGCAACCACTTTACATATATACACACACACACTCACACACTGGGTGGATGGAGGAATGCTCCAACAACTTAACAGACATTTACAATGTGGTTTCATTCTCTTTTTCTTTGAATGAATGGTTACAGTGAGTATATGTGGGGAAAAAAACATGTTCCCCAATACCCTCATAAGATCAAGTGCTTCTAAGTATTACAGGTGAAAACATTCTTCTGTAGCTGGGCACGGTGGCACATGCCTCAAATCCCAGCACTTGCACTCAGGAGGCAGAGGTAGGCAGAGCTCTGTGAGTTCGAGGCCATCCTGGTCTATAAAGGGAGTCCAGGACAACCAGGTCGACACAGAGAAGCCCTGTCTCAAAACAAAACAAATTATTCTCAAGAATCCACCTACATTGGTAACTAAGAAATTTGTTACAGTGTAACAAAATGTAAGGCAGTAAGGTTATTTTCTCAGCCTGTTTCTCTTTACTGGCAGGTGCAATTTGCAGTTATAAAAAAAGAATCGGTTATTTTATTATTTATCTTAAAAAGTAACTTAATAATCTTAAAAGAATCGCAAATCTAAACTTATATTTAAAAAACAGTCATTTCTACTTTAAATCCTCATGGTGCACATCTACTCATTAACAATTTTTTTATTAAATTATATCAGGAAGGGAGGGTGGGATTGGGAGGGGAGGAGGGAGGGAGGTACAGGGGAGATACAAAGTGAATAAACTGTAATAAAAATAAAAATAATACTTGAAAAATAACTCTGAAAAAATATATAAATAAAAAGTGAAAAAAAAAAAGAAAGAAAAAAATTATGTCAGGAAGCCAAGGGCAAAAATGGGTACAAGAAATTAATCATCAGCTTTAGCCAGTGCTAATCAGGCTGCCATTCTTGTTCCCTAACCTCAAAAAGTCCCTAGCTCAACTATCAAGACAGTGCCTTTCTAAACTACAAATTGTCTCCTAAGATTTTCTACATCAAGGCCACTAACAAAACATCCCAACTTTACCAAGAGTCTCCATCTCTAGGTTCTTTCCAAGGGTGGTGGTTGAATCGTCTGCTCCAGCAGCAATGCTTGAAAAAGATCACACACTAATATTTTAGGTGCCAATGACACTGCCCAGTGAGGGTACATAGAACCCGTGTATTATGAGGGATGACCATGAAGACAACAAGCAGAGCTGCATAAAATCCTGGCGGGCACACCCATAGCGGTTGTGCCAACTGGTGGGCCGCAGTCCATGCGTTCAAAGCTGTTCTGCTGTCCCTCCTGCACGGCCCTGGACAAATAAAGACCTGTTTAAGCTTCCTGCTATGCGCAGCTGCGCTGAGCCCACCCTCCTGACCGTGTGGCAGAGCCCTGCCTCCTGAGGGGCACAGAGCCTGTGAAGCCGCTGCCCTTAAATCGGCAAGGTGTCCTGGCTCTGTTGCTCAACCCACACATGGAGCAGCCTCTGGAGAT